TCTTGAAAATATTGGAAGACACTTAACAGTTGTATTATGCCAGTACCTAAATGTGACATTTAACATGTCATGGAAAGCTATGCTTTGAATAAATACTTGAGAAAAGGAATTATATAATTGCCCCTTTGTTGTATGGATGGCCTTGGGTTACACAGGGCTTTATCACATTTTTAGAGAACATTTGCCAATCTCAGACTGATGAAGTGGAACCCTTTTAAAAGAAATTGGAAGATGGCTATATAATTATTGCAGTGTAGTTAAAGAGATTGGCTAAGGCAATAAAGAAAATTTCAAAATACTCAGAAATTTGTTGTAAATTGCTTCTACAATAATTGATAAAGCATGCTACAACTAATTATATGTATTAAGACCTATCAGCATGTCTTTTTTTAGAACCTGGTTGACTTGATTCTAAACCAACATAATGTTCTCTGTACCATTTGACATTTTCAAGACATATTCTCCCTAAGCAGATTTTGTTGGAACCAAGTGTTTCCAGTTCTAGAAGCCTACTTCTAGAATCTTCATGTGAAGTTTATAGTGGGCTTTAATGGGGTTTTGATTTGCACTAAACTTTCTTTTCTGAAAGATTATGTTTAAATTATAATGTAGTGCTTTTGTCTTAAAATTAAACTCTTAACAGCAGTCATGCATTTTTTGCACTGTCTTTTTTTTTTTTTTTTTTAAGGTTTCCTCTCTTGGAAGAATTTCCTGAAATAATGTAGGTCTTGTTTTCTTATTTGGAAAGGTAAGGCAACTACTGTCATGTTTAAAATGACAATGTTAAATGACGGCATTCTTTTTAAAGTTAGTGATGCATAATTGGTTAAACAGTATTACAGGTTGAGATTTTGATGGAAGAAAAAAGCAATTTCCAATTTTCTCCAGAATATTCATGAGAAAGGATACCAAGAGTAGGAATATTTTATATGGGGATGTTCAGTCTTTAGCCTCTACTGGGCTTGCTGTCAAATTGTGAAACCACTAAAAGGGCTGGGAATGCATTTACTCTCTATGCAGACAAATTTTTCAAAAAATGGCAAATCGAATTAGATGTGTACAATAGCAATAATGTTAACCAAGGTACTCATATTCAACGTAAATACAGAAAAAACCTAACAGTATCATTTCATTATTACATTTCCTACGTTCCGTTGAGAACTCTTTAAGGAATGTGGGTCACTCAGTGCTGGCCTGCCAAGAGAGAGGGTTCCATCATGGTGGGTCATGGTGTGGTGCTGAGCAGGGGCTTTCCCTCAAATGACCTGTTTTCCTGTAACCAGCTTGTGATTCGTCTAAAAATCAGGCCGGAACTAAATAATGAATTTTGTTCTAGCTTCTGCGAAGACTGTAATGAGATAACGAATTTTCAAAACAAGTTAAAATAATTCTTGCAGATTTATTAGAATGTGTGGGACATTCTATTTTGTAGATATTTTAAAAATTCTTGTTTAGTATGTTGAATGGAATAGATATTTCAAGTGAATGGTTCAGAGGTCCCACTCCGTCATTTGTCCTGTGATGTTGGGCAAATAAAATTGAACTTCTCCAACAAGCGTCAGTTTTTCCAACTGTAAAATTAGATGTTCTTTAGGGATGAACATTAAATGATAGGTATGTGAAAAGTGCTTTGATGTTAGTCATTCTCAGCTTCATACACTGAATGGGGTTTAAACTTTGAGGCGCCATTCCAACCTTAAGCAGAACCTTCAGGTTTGGAGCCCAGACAGCCTACACTGTCTTATTAGGATCCCCAGGTGATTCTGATGCTGAGCGTTGAAAACCAAAGCTCCGTATTTATTGCTGTGATCATATTTAAGAGCTATGGAAATCATGCATATGAAAAAGTATCAAATGTTAATGTCTCTCTGTATGTGCTAGGCAGTCCAAATACAAAAAAGGCTTGAGGGGAGTAGACACATAGTTGTCTACCATGATGGGGATGAGTGCCCTTTTTGAAGCTTGCCTGGGCACCTGCAGGGACTCCCTACTTTTGTTTCTGTCACTCTTCTGGGCTTCCCTGCTGTGAGTCTTCAGGAGATTTCATGTGGAAGCTCTGTGATTTTGGTGAGTAATTTGGGAAAAGGAGATAAGCAGAAGAGAGGAGTCACAGTAGACTAAGGTCTAGATCACAGACCTAGATCACATAGCTGTGATCCCCTTTATAGACACAGGAGATAAGGTCCAGTAAGCAGTTTTGTGGGGAAAGGAAGAAGAATATATACGAGTTTTAGGATTTAATATTTGAGGTGTTTGCACGTTATCCAAGTGGATGTCTCCAGTAGAGAAAATGGTTTGGAATTCAGAAGGAAGGTTATTGCTGGAGAAGGCAATGCCATGGGAGTGAATAAAAGCACCCTGGAGAGTGCGGAAAATGAAGAGAACCGAAGGCTGAGCTCTGCTGCAGTCCATCTGAGTGAATGAATGAACTCCCAAGGTCTAGTCCACTTTCTCCACCCACACAGCAAGCAGTGTCTTCATTTGTTCATCTTTTTTCCTCTTACTATGTTAGCCCAGTGGACTCTGGCAAGTGACCTAACTTGTGCTTCAGTTTTCTTATCTGTAAAATGGAAATAATAATAGTACCCATCTCAGGGTTGTTGTGAGAATTAAATAAAAATAAAGTACTTCAACAGCTACTGGCATGTCAGTGCTCAGTAACAACATTAACTGGATTGCCTTTACCAATTGAGATAAATTTGATTTCTAATAAGGTCCAATTCCCATCCCACTTATAAGTGCAAATCTTCCTCAGTGACTGGAGCCAGTGTTGATCATTATCTTTCTTGTATTTTTTCCCTGCCACACAATGCATCACTTAGTAGATGTTATTTTAACGTGTTTATGATCTTTGTTGGTCTTACCTCCTCAACTGGAATGTAAGCTTCCCGTAGGATCGGAACCATTTCTTATACTTCTACATACAGCCGTTAATTTCTCAAATGTCTGTTATCTCTATCAATGTGGTAACTTAGAATAAATCCTAATGATTTAGGACTGTTTTGGTGCAGAGGAGCAACTCAACAATATTTGAATGCATAAATGAAAAATCTAAGATTGTCTTAATATCTGTTTCTACTCAGGTACATTCTGCTAGGTGTTGCACAAATAGCAGGGAAACACTTTACTAAATGAGTACTTTGCTTACTTCTTCCTAGCAGCTTTCAACAGTTCATAAAAATAGAAGTCATCTGGAAAACTCTTAAACTCTGTTTAAGACTGCCTAGGAAAACAGGTATTACATGGGACGTGCTGCCTGGAACCAGGGTGATAGCCTGTGCTTTAAACGCGCTGCAAGTGGAGGGAGGTTGCAAAGGCATTTTTTTTATTTTTTAGGCTTCTGGGTCTTGGCATCCTAAAATGTAAAATTGGGGGTGGTGTGGTGGCTAGATTAGGTGTTAAATTTGATGTCTTCTAGCAATAAATATGCTAGTATTCACTGGCAATCAGGATACAAATACATTGTTTTGTACATAATTATAAATTACAGAAATTTTATAGGGCTACAAAAGTAATGGCAGCAAAATGCATGACAATATCCTCACAGTATTCCTTCAGATTCCTATCTCTACCCCCCCCCCGCAACCAAAACAACCTACTAACCTGGTCCAAAGCAAAATAGTACTGATGTGTGTTGTCTGGCCCACAATTAATTTAAGGGGTCAGATAATATACTCTGAGTTAAACGTGGGTTTCGTGGCTATATACCTCAGTCAGTACTTGAATCAGTAAAATCTCAGCTTTCTAGCTGTGTGATCTTGAACATGCCATTTAACTTTGCTCTTTTCTCATATGCAAAATAAAGATAATAATGTGAACTAACATTAACATAGCACTTATGTGCCAGCCAGTTTTATGTGCTTTACATTATACTAACAATAGTTTTTACCTCTTCATGTCATTGTAAAATTTAATGAGACACCTCTCCCCCAAAGCACTTAGTACATATGTCAGACTATATTTCTTTTCCTGGGTATAAATTACAGAAACTCCAAAAGTTTCTAACATTTAAAATGCTTTAAAAAATATTTTGTGAATAGAAAGGTGATATTGTGCTGGAGGAATTGGGACCTACTTAAAATGCTGATATTTGATCATTATCAGAATTAAAATGAGTTCTCCAGTAGTCAGGAACCCCTGTTCTAATCTTTTTATTCTTCCCCATGGATCACTATGATTTTTATGATTTTTAAAACGTACTTTAGACCTCAACATCCCAGTTAGGAAATAGAATTCATAAGACCTTGTAACCAACTGCGAAGTGAAGTTGAATGTTTTGGGTTTTAGAAATCTTAGTGATTCAAGGTTATTGGATGAAGTGTATCAGTTAAAGAGAGAATAAAGCTGTTAGGGTGGTAAAATGGAAGACATGACCTGTGATTTATTAGAGAAATGATAGTTTCCTAATTTTTTAATCTTTACCCAAAGAAATGCCTAGTATAAAACACAATGGTTTGAATTTTCATTTCACATGAAAGAATATGTAGAAGAGGTGAATGTGTATCTGGACTGTACTCATGTAAGAATTCTTCTAAGGGAATTTTAAGGTCATTTCTGAGTAAGGAGTAAGATAATGGGGATTTAATCAATGCCATAAATGCAGCCATCTTTCCTATTAAGTAATAGTTAACACTTAAATAGCATTTTCTATGTGGTAGACAACAACTCTATGCGATATTATTATTATTAGCTCCATTTTAAAGATGAGGAGACAGGGTCAAAGGTTAACCAACTTGTCCAAAGTCATCTATATGGTATGTGGCAGAGTGGAGAGTTGAAGCTTGGCAGTCTGATTTCAGGGTATGTGCTTGTGATATTAACAAAGAGAAGAGTAGTGGAGCAGTGGTAAAAAAAAAACAAAAACAAATGGGATTACAGAAATGGGAGAGGTACAAAGACGAGTCAAGGAACACTAAAGGGACAAGGAAATACTTCCAACCCCCTTTTCCTCCATTCCTCCTACCACTAGAGAAGGCTTTTGTAGTTGTTGGTTGTAGAACTCTAATTACATATAACAATTTATTGGTACCTGCTGGGGATGGGGAGAAGGGTCAAGTTGGTATTACATTTGTACTTAAAAGAATGATGATGATTGAAAGGAGAATGGCCATGGTGATGACTATAATCTTTTTGAAGTGTTTCCACCATATCCTCCCAAGAATCTTTCTTGTTTTTTGGGATTCTTTGGCCTGAAATGAAAATAAACACAAATTTAATGTTTTCTTTCCATTTCTGGATTAATGTGCACACTACAATACTTATTAGAACGATTTAGAAGAACAGATTTAATTTGGGTTTGACCAATCACAAAAAGTCTCAGTAAGTCTGAGCAGCTGTTATAAAATGATGCACCAAGATTCTTTATTGTGTTCAGCTATACTTCTCTTGGCTTTATTAATTTTGTGACCTTGAATAAGTTACTAACTCTCTGAACTGGTTTCCTCATCTTAACATCATGATTTTACTTAAATTCCACTATCCCCTACAACCCTATTTAAAATCGCTACCCCATCTCCATTCCAGAAGCCCTCTTCTTCTTCAATGCATTATTTTTCTCCAAAGTACTTATCTCTTATCTAACAATATGTACATTTTACTTACTTGTTGTTTGTTGAGAACGTAAGTTCTATGAAGGCAGGGATTTTTTGTCTGTTTCATTCACTGCTATATTCCCAACAGCGAACAACATAGAGCAGGTGTTCAATTATAATAGTATTTGTTGAAAAAATGAATGACTAAATCTATTAAATGAGGATAGTAGTATCTGCCACATAGTAGCCCAGATTGTGAGGATTAACTGAGGTAGTGAATATAGTATATCGAGACTGGATATAAGAATAAATTATGCCATTATTATAATTAATATTTTGATGAATAATGAGATGGACTTCGTTAAGTACGATATAAAAAGTTTCATATCTTAATTAACCTAAACAAAATAGCTCACTTTTATTAAATTTTATTAAGATTATTGAAAGAATCTAAGGAGCAGTGGAGAGAAATGAAACACGGTCACACGAAATTGTAAAATCCTTCCCCCCATCCCCTGAAGTAAGCTTTATTGTTTTCATTTGGTCTACTCCTTTTTATTTTTAAAATATATGTAACTGCTTTTCCTATAGCGTGATACAAATAAATTGCTTGATGCTTACATGGATTTCTGCTATCTGCCACCTGGATGAGTAAAATTCTAACATATTTCAGTTATCTTTCTTCGTGCAACAGATCTGCTTTTTTACTCTCAGTATATATGGTGATTTTCCAAGAACAAAATCAAGGTATGTACATGATTACAGTGCATGCTATAAATGGCATGAGTCCTGGTATGCCACTCAGATGGTCTCATGACTAGTGTATGACAAGTTATGGGAGCCCCAGGTTTATATATCCAAGATGCTGGTGGTTATTCTCAAGGATCTGGTGTATGGAAGCTACTGACTATATATACTTTCCAAGATGTTATAATTTATTGAATGCTTAAAATGCAGGTACTATAGGACATGCATTATATGTATTTTTGCATAATAGTATGCAATACTTATAATAACCCTAGGTGAATATTCCTGTTTTATAGTGTTGAAGAAAATGAGGCTCAGAATGGTTTAAGTTGCTTGCCTCAGAGTAAGTGGTGGAGCTGGAATTCAAATCTAGAATTGCATGACTATACTGCCTCGTGTAGAAACAGTGAATTAAGGTATAAATGGACTTTATATCTTTCTCTTAGACTATTTATTCTCTTTTATTAATGTAGCGTGTATATATAGTTTGAAAAGTCAGAATTCTATAAGGCTTATGAGTAAAAACTGCATTTTCCTGCCCTACTCCTCTTCACCCTGATCCTATTTTTCAGAGGTAATCACTTTAAGCTCTTTTTCGTGTGTTTTGTTAATTGTTGTATCTCTATTTCCTGGAACAGTGGTTCTCTCCTGGGGATAATTTTGCCCTCCAGAGGACGTTTGGCGATATCAGGAGACATTTTTGACTGTCATGACTGTAGGGGTGCTACTGGGCATCTAATGGATAGAAGCCAGGAATGCTGTTGAATATCCTACAATGCATAGGATAGTCCAGAGTGTGCCACGGCTGAGAAACGCTGACCTAAAACAGTGTCTGACATGTAGTGGGTGCTCAGTAAATACTTGTTGAATGCACCTCATTTAGCTGTTTATTTTTTCCTGCTGTTTGTTTTCCTCTGTATTGCTAGAAACTATATATATATATTTTTAATTTTTTCCTTGCGGCACGCAGGCCTCTCACTGTTGTGGCCTCTCCCGCCGCGGAGCACAGGCTCCGGACGCGCAGGCCCAGCGGCCATGGCCCACGGACCCAGCCGCTCCGCGGCATTTGGGATCTTCCCGATCCGGGGCACGAACCCGCGTCCCCTGCATCGGCAGGCGGACTCCCAACCACTGCGCCACCAGGGAAGCCCCATATATATATTTTTTTTCTTGATTTTTCCTGTTTCCAACTATAGAAAAGGGGATATAACTCCTACCATACCTCCAAACCCCCCTTCCCCAAACACATACCTTTCCTATTTGTGTTTAATTAAAGCTTTGTAACTATTCCCTGAGACATGGAGCATATTTGACTACATTGACTTTAGTGTATAGCTTTTTGGTTTCTCTAGAGCTAATAATAGGTAGATAGTTAAAATGTTTTCATTTATTAGTTTTTAATCTACCAACCAGTAATTCATTCCCAAACTTTCCAGAGGAGCTGGAAAATATCCTTCCTTTGATGGCTCCTCTGTTGGATCCTTCTGCTTTATCTTGAAGTTCCTCACAGAGCCTTTTGATCTACTCCAGTGTGGTTTGGTTGGGGTCTAGGTTTGCTATACCTATAGCTTTAATCTTCAGATCTTTCTGCACCAGTATCCTGGGAATGCCCTTCTCTTGTGCTGGGCCTTTTGTTTTTTCAGTCTCATTTCGTTCCCTTTCTTGATTTATTTCCTTCTGTTGGTGAAAAATTTCTGCTGAAAACTTCTTAGGAAGGGTGAGTGGGAGATATGTTTCTGAGAATTTACATGCCTAGAAATGTCTTGATTCTACCCTTGGTAATTTGGGTATAGAAGTCTAATGTGGAAATCATTTTCCTTCAGAATTTTAAAAGCATTCCTTCATTTTTGTTTAGCACCCGTTTATTGCTTTTGCAAAATCTGTTATTCTAATTGCCAAGTCTTTGTTTTTTCTCTCTCTCTAAAAACCTTCAGAATCTTCTCTTCCTTTTTAACGTTCTATACTTTCGAGATTACATGCCCTGCTATGATCCTCTTTTGTTGTTCATTGAATCTGTAAATTCATGTTATTTAGTTCTAGGATTTTTTCTTGTATTAATCTGATTTTCTCCCCTCTGATTCCTTCATTTTCTTTTTCTGAAAATCCTGTTATTCATATGTTGGAGCTCTTACACTGATTCTCTGTCTTTTCTCTCTCTTTTTGCTCTGCTCTCTGAGAGAATATCTCAACTTTATATTACAATCATTCTATTTAATTAAATTTTACTGTTGTTTTAACTTCCAAAAGATCTTTATGTTCTATGAATAAGCTTTTACATAGCTTTCCATTCTTGTTTCAGGGTTGTACAATATTGTCTTCTATTATTTCTCTGAAGACATTAGAGAGGTTTTTTTTTTTAAAATAAATTTATTTATTTATTTTTGGCTGCATTGGGTCTCTAGTTGTGGTGGGTGGGAGCTACTCTTTGTTGCGGTGGCTTCTCTTGTTGCGGAGCACGGGCTCTAGGCACACGGGCTCAGTAGTTGTGGCTTGCAGGCTCTAGAGCTCAGGCTCAGTAGTTGTGGTGCATGGGCTTAGTTGCTCCGCGGCATGTGGGATCTTCCCGGACCAGCAGCTTTTACTGCTCTAATGAGGCTCGAACTTGTGTCCCCTGCATTGGCAGGCAGATTCTTAACCACTGCATCACCAGGGAAGCCCTGTTTGCTTTTTTTAAGTGAAGTATAATTTACAATATTGTGTTAGTTTCAGGTGTACAGCACAGTGATTCAGATATACATACATATGTATATGTGTGTATATATATATGTATATGTGTGTGTATATATATATATATATATATATACACACACACACACATATATATTCCTTTTCATATTCTTTTCCCTTATAGGTTATTACAAAATATTGAGTATAGTTCCCTGTGCTATACAGTAGGTCCTTATTGGTTATCTATTTTATACATAGTAGTGTGTTCATGTTAACCCCAAACTTCTAATTTATCCTTCCCCCCGGAGAGACTTTTTTTTTAAATGAAGCTTTCTTTTGCTTCTGCATTATCTGTTTTGTCTGAGTTCCTTTTTTCTGTTTACTTTGATTTTTTTTTTATTATAGAGATTTTTCTCAAATATCTCATGATCTAAAATGATGATTGGAAACTCCATATGAGTGAGTGAGGGCTATCATTTGGTGGGCTTCACTATAGGATAATCTGGTATGAACCTGACTATTTCATTGGGGGAATGCCTCAATATCTGTAGGTCAGTATCTGTGGGTCTTTTTTCCTTGGCCTCGTGAGTTTTCTTAGGGAGGACTTCTCTAATCTCCTGCCTGGGTGAAGCTGACTGGGAGAGAGGTTGGGGAATGGTCACCCTATTCAGGATGCAGATTTTTACTTAGTCCACCTAATTTTAATATGATGGTCACTCTGGCCTTAACTGCACCTGGTAAATGAGTTTAGAATCTCTTAGGTCTTTTGTCTTTAGATAATACAATTTATTATCCTTTGTCAGGGGTAAGGAGAGGAAACTGTGGCTGTAAAAAGTCGGGAAGGGGCTCTACAGGTAAAATGTTCCTTTTAAACACATTATACCCAATCTCTTCTTTCTAGACCCATACTGCTTTTAGAAGTACCGTGTGTCTCCTTTTAGAAGTACGATGTGTGTCCAATTTATGATCCTTTCCAAGGTTCTGTGGCCTGGATCATTTGGCATCTTAATATCTTCTGCTATAAGCTTGTTTTTCGAACTTTTACTGCTCTAATGAGGCTATTAAGTACTCAGAACCCATTTTCCTAGCTTCCAAAATTTTGAAATTTCTTTTCTCTTGTTCTTTTTCTAAAATATCCTAGTGGTTTATACATTAAAATCTCTAATTGTTGTTTTTACCTATCATTTTATTGGAGTTTTGAGAGGATACCAAAATAAATGTATATGTTTAATCTGCAAGTTAAAATCCATGACCCATATTTATCTGTAGGCAGACTGACAGAAAGCTTATTGGCCTACTTTTTGTTAAAAAGCCAAATCTGCTGTTTAAGAATAGTTGGGTCTTTTACAAAAAGATCAAGAGAGAGAAAATTAATTTAGTTAGGCAAAAATAGAGGGTTTAGTGAGAATGATTATGTGATATCTGTGTGAAAATAATCTGAGAACAATTGTAAAATATTTCAGTTAAATTTCATCTTTATTTTTTTTTCCTTTATTTTATTTTATTTTTTTGGCTGCATTGCGCATGGCATGTGGGATCTAGTTTCTGGACCAGGAATCAAACCGGCAGCCCCTGCAGTGGAAGTGGGGAGTCTTAACCACTGAATCACCAGGGAAGTCCCAAATTTAATCTTTTATTGAGCTGCTTCTACTCAACTGGCTTCAAAGAGGAAGTCATTTTTCCCCATGTAATCATGAAAATACAATATATACATAAAAGTGGGATTTGTTTGGAAGGAAAGGCAGTAAAGTGAAAAAAAATCTCAATTTTTTTGCTATAACTTTCTGGGATTTAGATGTTGCCTCTTTTCTGATAAGAAAGAAACATGATATAATCTAATAAAGTAATAGATCCAGTGATATAGTGGATTATGTAACCCTATAACCCTGCCACTATTACTACTCAGAAATGCTAGATAAAATATAAGAAGCAAACTTTTAAATGCATAACTGATATTGGAAGAAAGTAAGAGTAAGGCCAAGTGCAGGAACCTAGGAAAGCAGTGAGAAGTTGCACTGATGGTGCAGCTCCTCTGGATTTGGGAAGGTGATGATGTTGGCCTCTGCCATGCAGGCAGGGCTTAGGATTTAGTGCTCACAGCGGGCTCACGTGAGGAAAGCAATGAAACTACTCAATTTCCATCCTTCCTGTTAACTAGGCTCAGAGCTTTGGAGTCTTCCTTGACTCTCTCTCACCTCATGGCCAATCTGTCAGCAACTCTAATTCGCTCCACCTTCAAAATATATCCAGAATCCAACCACTTCTCATCACCTATATTGCAGTCAATATTCATTTAGTGTTACCTACACCTTTACCACTATCTATATAGTTCCTTTAGAATTTCCTTTAGTGATAAACTTCCAGATATCATAAAGACAGCCAGCTATCCACTGAAGACTTTGAGTTCCCCTTCCATAATGTAGAGTTGTTGCTGGCAAGAGACTGTCCAATCACAGATCACATTTCTCAGGCCCTTCACCCCACCCCTTGCTGTGTCCTCTCTCTACCCCATGTACCTATGCAAAGCTAAAAGACTAATTCCTACCAATAGATTGTGAGTAGAAATGATGGGTGTCACTTTTGGGCTGAACTGGCTCAAAGCAAATGTGCTTCTTCCACTCCCTGTTTAACCAGCTGCCACCTGAAATTGAAAGATTCTGAGGGGCCATAGGCAATGACAGAGTCACAAAATGGAAAAAACTTGGGTTTCTGGATTACCCTGTGGAAGTCTGCTCACTGAAAGCCTGCCTTATACTGTTATACAACCGAGAAATTAACCTCTGTTGAGTTAAAACACTGAAAACTTGAGGTATGTTGGTATAGCTAATGTTTCTCTAATAGTGAAATTGTAGTAGGATGAGATGTTGTTATTATCAATACAGAACTCTAAAACATGTAGCACTGGCTTAGCCATCAGGTGGTAGGCACAGAAGAAACTGATATTAGAGTCTGGAAAGATAAAGACCAATGCTCTTCAGGGTAAAATATTTGCTAAAACTATTGCCTGTGATAATTTGGAAGGCAGGCAAAATACTACTGAGTCTGTCCTTTTAGAAGAAAAGGTTGGAAAATAGAAAGGTAGTGTGAGTTCTTGTTACTGGCTACATTTAGCAAGGCAGCAACTGGCTGGTTTGCAAGAAGAAATGAAAAGGAATAGAGAGACTGCAGAAATGTGGAACATTGGATGAGCTGATGGTTTGGGGGCCCAAATAATAAGACATTAGATTAAAAAGGCCTTTTAATGACAGATGCCCATTAAGATTCTACCCTTCCTCAATTACAACCCCCCCCAAACCTATTAAAAATGGACAAATGACTTGAAATGCAAGTCAAAGTAAGATACCACTTCACACCGGTAGGATGGCTTTAATAAAAAAAAAAAAAAAGGAAAAATAACAAGTGTTGAAGAGGATGTGGAGAAATTGGAACCCTCTTACATTAGTGGTGGGAAGGTAAAATGGTTCAACCACAGTGGAAAATAGTTTGGAAATTCCTCAAAAAGTTAAAATAGAATTACCATATAATCCAGCAATTCCATTCCTATGTACATACATAAAAGAATTGAAAACAACTATTCAAACAAAAACTTGTACACAAATGTTCATAGCAGCATTATTCACAGTAGCCAAAAGGCAGAAACAACACAGATGTCCATCATTTGATGAATGGATAAACAAGTTGTAAATCTATACAATGGAATATTATTCAGCCAAAAAGGAATTAAGTACTGATACATGCTACAACATGGATGACCCTCGAAAACATCATGCTAAGTGAAAGAAGCCAGACACAAAAGATAACAGATTGTATAATTTCATTTATATGAAATACTCAGAATTGGTAAATCCATAGAGACAGAAAGTAGGTTATTGGTTGTTAGGGGCTGGGGAGTAATTGCTTAATGGGCATGAAGTTTATTTTTGGGGTGATAAAATGTTTTGGAACTAGATGGAGGTGGTGGGTACACAACATCTTGAATGTACCAATTGCCACTGAATTGTATACTTTAAAATGTTAATTTTTTGTTATGTGAATTTTACCTCAATTACAAAAAGATTGTGCCCTGCATTAGAGATCAGATTAAGGGTATAAGCTTCCTATCCAACCAAGCCTAATGGCCTCAAGGTAGTTGCCTTTAACTTGAGAGGGAGGCATGAACAAGGAAGCAAAGAAAATACATATTGGAAAGGATAAAAAAAATCCAGTAATTTTTCATATATGATGGCATTTCTATGTAGAAAATGCAAATAAGTCCACAAACAAACAATATTACCATAACAGAGTTCAGCAAGACTTGGGATACAAAATCAGTATGCAAAAATTGACTGCGTTCCTATTAACCAAAAATTTTTTGAAAATGTAGTTTAAAAAATATCACATACAATAGCAACAAAAACAGTAAGATATCAAGAAATAAATCTCAGAAAAGTTGTACAAGACCCTTAGGGGAAGAATTATAAAACTCTACTGAAAGATTTTGAAAGAGACTTAGAAAAATGAAGAAACATAGCATGTTCAGAGAAGGGAAAACAGTATTTTAAAGGTGTCAGTTCTCCCCATATTAATGTAATTCCAACTAATATCCCAACAATTTGTGTGTGTGTGTGTGTAACTTGAGATGTAGAATCTAAAATTCCCCAAAAGAGAAAGAAGCAAGCCTTGCCAACATAATTTCCAAAAAAGAGAAAGTAGACGAACTTGCCCTGTAAGATATTAAGACTTCTCATAAAACCACAGTAACTAAAATGGTGTAGTACCGGCCCAAGGAAATAGAAATAGATCAGAAGAATATAATACATACGAATCAAAAGAACGAAAATTGTTTACATATGAAAACATTATATGTGGCAAGGCTGGCATTACAAACCAAATGGGAAAGTCTGAGCTATTTAATAAATGGTCATTTGGGCAACTGGTTATTTATACAGAAAATAATAGAATTTGATTCCTACCTCATATTTTATGCAAAAATAAAACTCCAGATGTTTTAAAGGTTCATGTTTAAGAAGCAGAAATAAAAACTTTTAGGAGACAATATAAGAGTATCTTTATAACCTGGCGAAAGGAAGGCATTCTTAAGACACAGAAAGCATAAAGGACAGGACTGATACATTTGCCTACATGAAAGTTAAAGACATCTGTCCTGATAAATGGATAAAGAAGAAGTGGTACATATATACAATGGAATACTACTCAGCCATAAGAAATGAAATAATGCCATCTGCAGCAACATGGATGCAGCTAGAGATTATCATACTAAGTAAGTCAGAAAGAGGAAGACAAATACCATATGATATCTTTATATATGGAATCTAAAATATGACACAAATGAACCAGTCTATGAAACAGACTCACGGGCATAGAGAAAAGACCAGTGGTTGCCAAGGGGGAGGGTGTTGGGAAGGGATGGATTGGAGGATGGGGTTAGCAGATGTAAGCTCTTATATATAGAATGGATAAACAACAAGGTCCTACTGTACAGCACAGAGAACTATATTCAATATCCTATGATAAACCATAATGGAAAAGAATATAAAAAAAGAATGTATATATAGTTATATATGTATAACTGAATCACTTTGCTGTATAGCAGAAATTAACAGAACAGTGTAAATCAACTACACTTCAATAAAAAAAATAGTAAAGAGAAAAGACTTCTGTCCTAAAAAAGACACTATACACAAAGTTAAAATCAATCCACATACTGGGAGAACATATTTACACTTTCTACAACTAAGTATTAGGATGAAGAATTATATACTCATTCATTATTCTAATAGTTATAAAATTAGTATTTTATATATATATACTAAATTATTAAAAAAGACAAGCACCCCATTAGCAAAATGGGCAAAGGATATCAACAGGCCACTCACAGAAGAAACGCTAATGGTTAATAAACAAAAATTGCTCTCTGTCATCCCAAATTAGGGAAATGCAAATCAAGACAATAGTTACTTTCTTTCCCCTACCAGATTGTTAAAAGTTATAATCTAATAATCTCAGGTTTTGGAAAGACAGTGTGGAGCGACGGGGCCTCTCATACAGTGCCGATGGGAGTATAAACTGGCACGACACTTTGGAAAGCAATTTTGAAACATTTGGCTAATTCAAAGGTGCACATATTTTAAGATCCAGCAATTCCATTTCTATGTATATATTATAGAACAGTGGGTCAAAAATGGGATCTAGCATCCCAGGGGGTTGTAAAAGATGACCCACTGGAGAGCAGGAAAATAATATTAGAACCATATCTATTTGTTCATTTTAATCTAAAAAACAAGAAGGAAATGAAAATATTTAAAATTTAACATATGGATAGGCACTGACATTTTCCCTAGGTATGATGTAAAATGGTAAATCATGAAAGTTAAGATGTTTTGAGGGTAGAGGGGAAATTCCACAGTGATGCAGAGTTGGCCACTGCAGACCCCTTTGTCCACTCTCTTGTAGTGTATTGCAATACCTACAATTTATATGGGTAAGTGAATTATGGGTAATACATGGGTAATATTATTTAGTTTTAACTAAGCTAAAGTAGACATGTGGGTTAATTATACTAACAAGGCAAAGATAAACAACAAGAAAATGACAAAGAGGATATATCTCTGCTTCTAGTTTGAACACTACCTGCCATATTTAGAGACAAAAAATAGTCACTTGTAATCAAATCTGACTTTTAATCACACTATCATTAAAATACATTATTAAAATTTTTCTTAGACAGTTTTAATTTTCTTAAGAAAAATTATTTAATATTTTATTTCATCTTTGTCTCATTCTTTTAATTTCTATTAGTATGTTTTAATATATAACATTACTATCGAAGAATATATATAATTTATATATATTTAAATGCATTCTCAAGAATATTTTATGAATAAGTATGCATGATCAAAAAACTCTATAGACCATTGTCTTAGAAACATTTTGTAAATGTGTACTAAAAGACATGTACAAGGGTGTTCAGTGCAGTGTTGTTCATAATAAAGAAGTTGGAATCTACGTTAATATTTATTAAAAGGGGAAAGGATAAGTATTTCTGTATTTCTTAAAATAGTAATGATATGCTGTCAGTAGCTAAATTGATAAATTAGAGCTAAGTGTATCAAAATGAATACATTTCAAAAACATGATGTTGAACTAAAAACTCAGGTTGCAGAAGGATAAGTTCATTATAATGTCATAAATACAAAGTTTAAAAATGCAAACCAATACTACAGATACATATATAGCTACACATATATAGCAGAGGAATCAAAACATGCATACAAATGATTCAAATCAAATTCACGATAGCGGTTCTTCTGGTGAGGGAGTGGAATGGGCTTGGGAAAGGTACACAGGGGACTTTAATTTTATGTATAATTTTATTTCTTTAAGAAACAAAGGCCCGAACCAAATGTGGCAAAATATTAAGTCCAGATAAAGCTGGCTGATGATTACAAGGGTATTAGATATATTATTCTCAAAACTTTTTCATAGGGACTTCCCTGGTGGTCCAGTGGTTAAGAATCCGTCTTGCAATGTACAGGACGCTGGTTCAATCCCTGGTCTGGGAACTAAGATCCCACATGCCCCAGGGCAACTAAGCCCGCGCCACAGTTACTGAGCCTGCTTGCTCTGGAGCCCGTGCACCCGTGCACCGCAGCAAAGAGCCTGCACGCCACAACAAAAGATCCTGTGTGTGCAACTAAGACCCAAGGCAGCTAATAAATAAATGAATATTAAAAAAAACCCTTTTTCACATACTTGAAATAAATGTTGAATGAGGTAAGGAATTTTCTGACTAATTTCAAAATGCGTTGTAAAAATGTAGATACTATCAGTTATCCACTGTTTGGCTGTTATGCTTTATCCGTCTATTATGACACTTAACACATACTTTATATTGCAGTTAGGTTTATACAAATATGTCTCCTGCAGTAGATTAAACTGTGGCAAGTATCTTATTCCATTCTTTTATCCCTGAAGATGACAAGCATAATATCCTGTATATAACAGGCCCCCAAAGAATGTTTATTAATGAACAATGAATGAATCTAAATGGCTTGGACAGTTTTATCTGAACTCTTGTGTTATAACTCTCATAAAGACAACAACTGCAATGCTAGACAATGATTTACTTTATTAATTCTTCTTTGTAGATTATACAAACTGATGTGACATCTTTTTCCTGCTATAAAAACAATGTAGAGGATTGCTTTGTTTAAGTAAGTAGTGTTTGATTTAACTAACATTGAGTGCTTGTTTGCTGGGGTTGTGGCTATCATATTCATCCTTATTATTCTTAGTGCCTATTATAGAGCCTGGTAGACAGTAGATCTTCAAAAGATATTTGTTTAATTGATCAATAAATACAAGGTGCAGGGATGGCATAGATGAGACAGGCATAAACTCAGTCTGGGCAATGGATGAGGAGATGATTCTTGAGTTGGGTTTTGATGGATGAGTAGAAGTTTTCTAGGGGAAGGAAAAAGAGGGAACAGTATGCATAAAGGTGTGAAATAATGCAACAGGTATTTTGGAGAACTACAAATAGTCTGATATTTTTTGAGATTTATAAACTACAAGACATGACCTCTGGGTGATATGACTGGCAGTATAATCAGAAGAAAGCTCATTAAGTTAGGGAGGTTGGACTCTACCCTGCTTGGACAAAGGGGCACCACTAGAGGGTTTCAAAAAGGCTATAGATAACGCTCATACTTGCATTTTAAAAGAATACTCTAGTGTCGGTATGGAGGATGACTGGAGCAGAGTAGAACCAAAAATAGGGAGAACCATTAAATCTGGGAATTACCATAGTCAGACGAGATAATTGATCTTGGAGTGAGACAGTGAGTGGCATTGGGATGGGCAGAAGGTGTGTTTAAAAGAGATTTAGCTATCTGTGGAATACTATTTAGCAATGATAAGGAATAACATATTAACACACAACAACATGAATATAAAAAACATTATATTAAGTAAAAGAAGTCAAACACAAAAGACTGTATTGTATGATTCTATTCATATGACGTTGTAGAAAAGACAACACTATAGTGACAGAAAGCAGATTAGTGGTTGGTTGGGGTCAGGGTTGGGGAAGAGTAAACTACAAAGGAGGGCAGATTTTAGGATGGAAGAGCTAGTCCGCAACTTGATTGTGGTCACACAATTGTACACAATTACCACAATTTGTCAAACTCCACACTTAAACTGGATGAATATATGTGAATAATACCTTGGTAAATTGTTTTGAAAGGTGAAAAAAATGAGGCTTAGAACAAAAAAGATTTAGGAGGTTGAATCAATAGAACTTGATGAGTAAAAAGTAGTGTGTATACTTTGCTTTATATGGTGGCTGTGTTTGTAGAAAAGATCTGTAAAAATAAAATTTAAAATGCTCAAAGCGGGGTAATTCCCTGGCAGTCCAGTGGTTAGGACTCCGAGCTTCCACTGCAGGAGGCACAGGTTTGATCCCTGGTTGGGGAACTAAGATCCCACAAGTCGCGAGATGTGGCCAAAAAAAATGCTCAAAAGGAACTAGTGAACACTTGGTGATTGTTTTAAAACTATTTTCTAATAGAGAATTTCAGACACATACAAAAGTTGACAGGATGGTATAATGAACCCCTGTATACTCAGCAACCAGATTTAACCATTGTCAAGTTATGGCCAATTTTGTTTAATTTATACACCATTCTACTCCCCCACTCAAACTATTTTGAAGCAAATCTCAGATGTTACAAAATTTCATCCGTCAACATTTTAGTATGTATCGCTAATAAGTAATGACTCTTTTAAAAACATAACCACAATGCCATTATCACACCTAAAAATTAGTTATATTCCTTAACCTCATCTAATATCCAGCTAGAGTTCAAATATCTATTTGTCTCATGAAGTTGTAAATTTTCACTTTTATAGTTTGTTTGAATCAAAATCCAAATAAGGATCACACATTGCAATTGATATACCTTCTAAGTCCTTTTATTGGTAAGTTTCCCTCTCCTTTTTTTCCCTTGCAATTTATTTGTTGACTAACCTGTGTGTTTCTTAATGTAAGAAACCCTTCTGTTACACAAATAACCACTTTCTACTTTAATGGGCTTTAAAATTTGGATTGTTTTATAATTATTCTTTTAATATTTTAGTTGCACTTCAATAATTTTTGATAAAGCCATCATTTGGTGACATAGGATTATCTCACCAAGTGTCCCAGTATGTTTTTGCTTTTGGCAGTTTGTCTCAAGGGCAATGATCCTATGACTTAGAGCACTGTTTGGGTATTAAGACAGCCATGTAACACTCACAGTTGTTTGCAGATCATCTGTTCTGTCAGTGAAGATATTCAATCTTTCTTCTCTTTCCAAAATTTTATCGATATTTTGGGTCATAACATATTTTACATCAGTTACTTGACTCTTCAGTGTGGATATCGAGCTGTCCTCTTGATTTTTATTGTATTTCATCTATACAGAAGTGAAATATAATATACATTTTATTTTCTATAAATGAAATCTATTGTAATATGTTGTACAAATTAGAACAAAGTTGTCAAAGGCTCATCTCACTTGTATTTCAGCATAAGGAATCAACTAAGCCTCAAACTGTCCTACCTGAATCATGCAGAAAAAATGGGGGGTGGCAGGAGAGGGTATATATCAATGTATTCAATCAGCAGGGGATTTTTAAAGAATTTAAATTGTGTATTTATTTGAATAGACTTTTTAAAAGAGCAGTTTTAGGTTCATGGTAAAATTGAGTGGAAATTACAGAGTTCCTGCATGCTCCTTACCCCCCATACACGCACGGCCGCCCTCACTATCACCATCCTGTGCTTGAGTGGTCCATTTGTCACAATGGATGACCCTATGTTGATGCATCATTATCATCCAAAGTCCATAGTTTCCATTAGGGTTCACTGTTAATATTGTACATTCAGTGGATTTTGACAAACGTCTAATGACATGTTTTTGTCATTACAGTATCATACAGAACAGTTTCACTGCCCTTAAAATCCTCTGTGCTCCACCTATTCATACTTCTTTTTCCCTGAGCCCTCGCAAAAACTGGTCTTTTTACTGTCTCCGTAGTTTTGTCTTTTCCAGAATACCATATAGTTAGAGTCATACAGTATGCAGTGTTTTCAGATTGGCTTCTTTCACTTAGCAATATGCATTTAAGTTTCCTCCATGTCTGTTCATGGTTTAATAGCTCATTCCTTTTTAGTGCTGAATAATAGTCCATTGTTTGGATGTACTGTAGTTTATCCATCCACCTATGGAAAGACATCTTGATTGCTGCCATGTCTTTGCAAGTATGGATAAAGCTGCTATAATATCCACATACAGGTTTTTGTGTGGATATAATTTTCAACTCCTTTGGGTAAATACCGAGGAGCACTATTGCTGGATCATATGGTAAGAGTATGTTAGTTTTGTAAGTAACTGCCAAATTGTCTTCCAAAGTGACTATACCATTTTGCATTCCCATCAGCAGTGAATCAGAGTTGCTATTGCTCCACATCCTTGTCAGCATTTGGTGTTGTCAGTGTTTTGAATTTTGGCCATTCTAATAGGTGTGTTAGGGGTATTTCATTGTTGCTATAATTTGCAATTCCCTAATGACATACGATGTTGAGCCTTTTCATATGCTTATTTGCCATCTGTATATCTTCTTTGGTGAGGTATCTATTCAAATATTTGGCCCATTTAAAAAATTGGGTTGTCTGTTTTCTTATCGTTGAGTTTTAAGAGTACTTTGTATATTTTGGGTTATAGTCCTTATCAGATTTGCCTTTTGCAAGTATCTTCTCCCAGTCTGCGGCTTGTCTTCTCATTCTCATGACAGCTTCTTGATCCCGTTTGACAATCTCTTTTAATTGGTGTATTTAGACCATTAACTTTTTAATTTTATTATAATTTATTTATTTATTTATTTTTGGCTGAGTTGGGTCTTCGTTGCTGCGTGCGGGCTTCCTCTAGTTGCGGTGAGCAGGGGCTACTCTTCGTTGTGGTGCACGGGCTTCTCATTGTGGTGGCTTCTCTTTATTGCGGAGCACAGGCTCTAGGTGCGCGGACTTCAGTAGCTGCAGCGCGTGGGCTCAGTAGTTGTGGCTCGTGGGCTCTAGAGCACAGGCTCAGTAGTTGTGGCACATGGCCTTAGTTGCTCCACAGCATGTGGGATCCTCCTGGACCAGGGCTTGAACCCATGCCCCCTGCATTGGCAGGCAGATTCTTAGCCAGTGCACCACCAGGGAAGTCCTAGGCCATTAACTTTTAAAGTGATTATTGATATAGCTGGATTAATATCTACCATATTTGTTACCATTTTCTATTCATTGCTCTTGTTCTTTGTTGCTATTTTTGTCTTCAACTCTATCCATATTAAAAATGACCTCTACATCTGGAGAAAACTGTAATTTGAGAAGATACATGCACCCCAATGTTTACTGCAGCACTATTTACAACAGCCAAGACACAGGAGCAACCTAAATGTCCATCGACAGAGGAATGGATAAAGAAGGTGTGGTGTATATATATATATATATATATATATATATATATATATATATATATATAATGGAATATTACTCAGCCATAAAAAAGAATGAAATAATGCCATTTACAGCAATATGGATAGATCTAGAGATTATCATACTAAGTGAAGTAAGCCAGACAAAGACAAATATCATATGATATTGCTTATATGTGCAATCTAAAAAAAAAAAAGACACAAATTAACTCATTTGCAAAACAGAAAGAGACTCACAGACATAGAAAACAAACTTATGGTTACCAAGGGGGACAGTGTGGGGAGGGATAAATTAAGAGTTTGGGATTAACATGTATACACTACTACTTGTAAAATAGATAATCAACAAAGACCTACTGTATAGCACAGGGAACTACAGTCAACTATATTTAATGATACTCAGAGTACTCAATACTTTGTAATAACCTGTAAGGGAAAAGAATCTGAAAGAGAATATATATATATATATAACTGAATCACTGTGCTGTACACCTGAAACTAACATGGCATTGTAAATCAACTATACTTCAATAAAAAATGATCTCTAAGATATAGTGTTATATTTAAAAAGTAAGCTGCAGCTGCAGAAGAGTATTAAATAATAACTTATCAAGCACTTAGTATGTGGCAGGCACTGTTTTAAGCACTTCACACGTATAGTTCATTTAATTCCCAAACCATTATATAAAGTACTACTCTTTTCATCTTTTATTTTCTAAATAAGAAAACTCAGACTGAGAAAGTTAATATATTGCCCAATGTTACACAGCTAGAGGCAAAACAAGGATTCAGACTAAGAAGCTCTAGAGATTAAGCCTTTACCTATTGTACTAATGATCACAGTTTTGTGAATATATATAAATATAAATAAATAAATAAATAAATAAATAAATAAATAAAAATAAATAAATAAATATATAAATTCTGGAAGCTTACACACCAAACTGTTAAGAGTGTTCACCTCAGGGGGGTTTGATTGAGATTGTAGGAGATATTTATATTTCACTTTTTATACTTTTGTATTATCTCACTTTATTAATGAGCATTATTTTTAAATCTAAAAATGATATTAAAATCCCCTGCTCTTTGGCAAGTGATCAAATCCACCTTAAACAGAACTCTGATCTTGGTCACTGGACCATGCAACTTACAATTAATGTTCTGTGAGGAGCTCACTAGTTGGAATGTAGAAAAGAGGGAATTCCTAGTTGAAATGTGTCTCCCCAAAAAAGATTCTTTTAAGTCCTAATTCTGGATACTTGTGAATGTGACCTTATTTGGAAATAAGGTTTTGGTGGCTTGTGTTAAGAAATGTTTAGTGGATGCTTCTATGGCTCATGGGTTAAAATTTTTTATTAAGACATAATCAAGTTAAGATATAGCACAGGGAACTCTACTCAGTGCTCCGTGGTGACCTAAATGGGAAGGAAATCCAAATAAAAGTGGATATATGTATATGTATAACTGATTCACTTTGCTGTACAGCAGAAACTAACACACACTGTAAAGCAACTACACTCCAATAAAAATTAATTAAAAAAAGACATAATCAAGTTAAGATAAATGGTGAATCTTTGATTTTTCTTTTTATTCCTTTTCTCTTTTTCTCTCCTTTTAAAAAATGCTTAATCTTTTAAGATTAAGAGACTCATCTAAGTTTTGTTAAGATAATGTATTCATAGTCCATTCAATGGCATTTGGTACATTTATATATATAAATATATTTAAAACTCTCTCAAAACTACTTTTTTTTTTGCTGTGTGCATTTTTCTAATCATAGTATAAAAAAGTCAACACCTTTTATAAAATTTTCTACAGATTTGAAGCTCACCAGGTTAGTTTATACATGTTAAACAAATTTCTTTGATGTCAGATGTGTTAACTGCTTAAAATGTGCATATTTTCGCAGGGTTTTCAGGAGCTATGTTAATTATATATTTTAGCTGTTTGAATATTGCAGAATTCTCCATAAGAGAATATACAAATTTAATATATCTATCCTTAGTTACTTCTTCAGGCATTGTGGTGGACTCACCCTGTGGGGACCCCCACTGAGTCACATCTTTATAAAATTCCCTCCCCTTCAGTGTGATCTGCCCCTAACGAATGGAAGCAAAGGTGATGAGGTCACTCCTGTGATTACATCATATTATATAATATTTAGCAGACTGGAGTGAGAGATTCCTCTGCTGGCCTTGAAGAAGCAAGCAGCTGTGCTGAGGACGCCCTTGTGGCAAAGAACTGCTATCAGTCTTTAGGACCGAGGGTGTCCTCCAGCCAACAGCCAGCAAAAAGCTGCATCCCTCGCACAGCTCTTAGGAAATAAATTCTGCAACAATCTGAATGAGGCTGGAAGCAGATTCTTCCCCAGAGCTTCCAGATGAGAACATAGTCTGGCTGACACACTCACTGAAGCCTTGTGAGACCCTGAGCAGAAAACCCAGTTAAACCATGCCTTGCTTCCTGACTCATAAAAACTGTGAGATAATAAAATGTGTGTTGTTTTAGGCTGCTGATTTGTGGTAATTTGTTACCATACAAATTATTTATTTATTTATTTTTGGCTGTGTTGGGTCTTCGTTTCTGTGCGAGGGCTTTCTCTAGTTGCAGCAAGCGTGGGCCACTCTTCATCGCGGTGCGCGGGCCTCTCACTATCGCGGCCTCTCTTGTTGCGGAGCACAGGCTCCAGACGCGCAGGCTCAGTAGTTGTGGCTCACGGGCCTAGTTGCTCCGTGGCATGTGGGCTCTTCCCAGACCAGGGCTCGAACCCGTGTCCCCTGCATTGGCAGGCAGATTCTCAACCACTGCGCCACCAGGGAAGCCCACCATACAAATTTGTTACCATAAATAGAAAACTAATGCAGGTATACTTAAAATATTTTATTATGGAAAAGTTCAAACATATACAGAAGCAGAGTGAATTGTTTAGTGTACCCATCACCTACTTTCAGCAGTTATCAACACATGGCCAATCTTATTTCATCTGTACTACTACTGATTACTCCTTCCCCAAATGTATTATTTTAAAGCAAATTCTAGACAGTCTATTATTTTAATCTGTAAATGCTTCAATCTGTATCTCTAAAAGATATGGCCTTGTTTTTCTTAAAAAACAAAACCACAACATCTTGATCACATCCAAAAATATTCCTTAGTATCATCAAATATTTGGTTTGTCCCTTATACACTGACGATGGGAATGTAAATTGGTACAACCACTGTGGAAAACAGTATGGAGCTTCCTCAAAAAAATAAAAATAGAACTACCATATGACCCAGCAATTCTACTCCCTGGTATATATCCGAAAAAAACCCAAAACACTAATTTGAAAAGATACATGCACCCCAATGTTCATAGCAGCATTATTTATAATAGCCAAGATACGGAAGCCACCTAAGTGTCCATCAACAGATGAATGGATTAAGAAGATGTGGTAAAAACAAAAAAACAAAACAAAAAGAAGATGTGGTATACATATATACAATGGAATACTACTAAGCTGTAAAAAACAATGAAATATTGCCATTTGCAGCAGCATGGATGGACTTGGAGGGCATTATGCTAAGTGAAATAAGTCAGACAGAGAAAGACAAATCCTGTATGATATCACTTACATGTGGAATTTAATAAATACAACAAACTAAGGCATATAACAAAAAAGAAGCAGACTGACAGATATAGAGAACAAACTAGTGGTTACCAGTGGGGTCAGGAAAGGGGAGGAGGGTGAGGTAGGTGTAGGGGATTAAGAGGTACAAACTATTAGGAAAAAAATAAGCTACAAGGGGGCTTCCCTGGTGGCGCAGTGGTTGAGTCCGCCTGCCTATGCAGGGGACGCAGGTTCGTGCCCCGGTCCGGGAAGATCCCACATGCCGCGGAGCGGCTGGGCCCGTGAGCCATGGCCGCTGAGCCTGCGTGTCCGGAGCCTGTGCTCCGCAACGGGAGAGGCCACAGCAGTGAGAGGCCCGCGTACAGCAAAAAAAAAAAAAAAAAAGCTACAAGGATATATTGTAAAACATACAGAATATAGCCAATATTTTATAATAACTATAAGTGGAGTATAACCTTTAAAAATTGTGAATCACTATATTGTACACCTGTAACTTATATTGTACAGCAACTGTACTTCAATAAAAGAAAAAAAACTTTATTATGGTAAAACATACATATCATAAAATGTACAATTTTAACCATTTTTAGCTGTACAGTTCAGTGGCATTAAGTATGTTCACATTAAGTATATCACCACCATCTATCTCCAGAACCTTTTTATTTTCCCAAACTGAAACTCTGTACCCATTAAACAATAACTTCTCCTCCTCCCTTCCTCCCAGGCTCTGGCAACCACCTTGCTACTTTCTGTCTCTATAAATAATCTGACCACTCTATGTACCTCATATAAGTGGAATCACACAGTATTTGTCCTCTTGTGACTGTCTTATTTCACTTAAAAGGGACTACTCTTTTAAAAAAAATTTATTGAAGTATAGTTGATTTACAATGTTAATTTCTGCTGAGGGACTACTTTAAAAATATTTAATTTAATATTTGTGTAAAATATTTACACAATGATTATGATTATTATAATTTTTAAAATTGTGTAAAATATTTACATGGTTCCAAGTTGAATTTGCAAGACAAGTTTCATTCAGAGAGGTCTAGTTTCTATTCCTGTCCCCATCCATACACAGGCAACCACTGAAATGTTTTTGGTTTATCCTTCCTTTGTCCCCCCATCCCCCCCTTTTTTTGCTATAAGCAAACATATTTGTATTTATTCCCTCTTTCTTAAATGGTTGCATACAAGGATGGTAAGTAAATAACAGTATACCATATATATTTTCTCTGTCTTGCTTTATTCAATATTTATCAATATTTCATGGATATCATTCCTTATCATTATATAGAGATAGAAGTTCTTAGTTCTCATTCACCTTAACAGCTCTTAACTCATAATTCCTAACTGATTTGTCAGATGTAATACTGACAATGTTTAGGACCACACTTGGAGGTTACATACCATATACTTTCCTAATACTTGTTGAAAATCTGTAGCAACTGCATTTGACGGAGAAAAATGTTCTTGTGACATCAAAGGATTTCTCAGAAAAGTCTCACTAACCTGGGGAAATTAATGGAAATATTTAAATTATATAGATAATTTCAACTGGAGAATTACATAGTAAGTGTTTATTTGAAGCAAAGTCTGGCAGAAACTTTCAATAAAAGAAACCAGAACAGTTCTAGAATTTTGGTGGCAGGGTATCTTTTCTATTTTAAAGATGCAGTATTAATGAAAAGTGTGCTCATATCTCATATCTCGTATCGTGAGATTGCAGGTGCTACCTTGATTCTTTGGTATTGGTATTTCTGAAGACTTGAGGGGACTTGCAGATGTTCACCTCTGGCAGACAAGGAAGGATAGGAGTCACTGATATTCTCTAAGTAAGTGCTTTTCATTTTCCCCTCCTGCTCTTACCCTCAAAATCCATTCAATGATAACAAAACAATCCCAACTAAATGTCATGAGACTATCTTCCAAACCCTATAGGGTTGTTATATGATATTTCAAAGCTTTAAGAAGGAATTCTGACAATTGTTTGTACTTAATGTTGTATCACCCGAAAAGCAGTGGTAAAAATCATGCAGTCTGGTTTTGGAAAGTTGGAAAAGTTGGATGTTTTTCCATAATGGCAGAGAGGGGAAAAAAAATTAGAGTATAGTCAGTTAAATGGCTAACAGTGTTTATCATGTAGATGCTAACAATTGTCTAGGCATAAATGTAGAGTGAATTACAATATTAGGCCTTATAATCCTTGATTCTATATATGGTTACAGTTTGAGTTGTGTTAAAACAAGTTGGTACACTAAACAAATGAAATATATGCATAATGTGACTGGAGAATAACTATTAATAACTATAGTACAGCTGACCGATTTTTCCATTAATATTTTTTGTTAAAATATTTTTCCTAAATTATATATTTGTGAATAAAATTGAAGATTAGTATTATTAACTTTTTAAAATAAGAAAAAAACATACTATTTGGATCATAAAATTACCAGAATAATGGTTTAGCCCTAGTCTGTCTCTGAGACTGCCTTTCACAGTCTTATTCTAGTTGGAAGTTAGACACTGGGTGATAGTCAGCAGTAGATGATATCTATTGAGAAGGTTAACTAGGCTTTAAGAAATTTATAAAATCTCATGTATCTGTATAAGTACATACACATAAGTACTCTATCATATTTCATATTTGTTGGCAACTTTCAGGTAAAACGTTCTCTAAAAGTAGTATATCTTGATTAAAAAAATTTTTTTTCATTTAACTCATAATTGATTCATATTTTCTGCCAGAAGTGTCTTATCTATAATTATTTGAAAATTAAATACATATGCTATTGAGAAGGTATATTAAATATTAGTAAAGCTTAATTTTTCTTATTTTTAAAGAACAAAATAAATATGAGAGATTCCAAAGATGATCTGGGTTAATCATCTTTGTAGATCTTGCTTAAGAGTTAGGGGAATTGTAGAAGCAGAAGACAGATGAGGGATGAAGGTAAGAAATCTCTGAAGGTCACTAATGGCTCTGCTATATAGACAGATCTGCTTTTGGTTAGGGACATTATTACCAATAAACTATAAAACAGACCTCATAATTTCAATAACTGAAAAAGTCAAAGCAGTAAAAGAAATTACTTACATTTTTAAGAAATGCAGATGGTGTTACAGTATCTAAGGCATTGTCTGAGGCACACAGGTAAGTGATTCCGTCAATAAAGAGAGTATGGTAGACAAAGCTTTGAAAAGAATACATTCAGTTACATGATAATATTAAATTAAGTACTGATACAGAGAATTTAATTTCGTTTTCAAGCTCTCATTAATAGTATAAAAACTATGTAGATAACTTTTTATAATCAGAATAATTAGAAATCTTTCATACCTTTGAAAAATTAAACTATGTTAAATAAAAACTCTCTAAAATGTGAATATGCATTTAAAATTGCATCAATAAAAATAAATTACAATAGAGAAAATTCTAATAATCTAATCATATATATTTCACATGCCTTTGATGGAAGTCATTCTCATTCCAAGACTGAATCTAGATTCTGATCAAAGAGAAAATGCTATGTTCACTGATTTTTACTATCCTTATATTTTTAGGTAGACATATTTAATTTTGGCACTTCTTGGCTTTCTATTATGATAGATTAGAATTTGAAAGTTGTAAATTCCCAAGACCAAATATTCTAGAGCACAGGATGAGTCCGGGAGGGGGAATTAAACTCCCCTATAGTAATCCAGTGTAGCTTTTCCTGACCACTCCAACTTCTAGACCTTTTGTGCCTTCTCAGACTCACTTATTAGGAGGCTAGAAGACTCTTGGAAAGTGCTTCCATCTTTACTACCCAACAATCCAGAAAATTTAGGAATATGGCAACCAAAATAGTTGCTTGGTGCCTAGGCTTTAATCTAGTCATTTTTGAGCACTCTGTATCCAAATGGTTAACAGGCAACAGGCCTGTTCAAATGCTAAACTGGATAGATATGAGAATGAGGCATCTCAAAAATAGGTAGAAAAGATAATCCCAGGGGCAGAAAACTTAAGATATGTGCCCCTTCAATATAAATCCTTGATATCATATCATGAATACAATATGCTACAAATATTTTTAATGATGATATTAATTGACATGCATAATATCCACTAGGAAAATATTTTTATTTTTAAATAGGGAGGAGTCTTCACAGGAAAAGAGTTGCTAATTCTGTCATCTCTCCAAAAGTTATATATGTGTTCTAAATTGATACTGGATGTGATTTTAAATTTATGCTTAGTGTGTTATTGGTAACACTCAGAAACCATCCTTAAATATTAAAAATCTTGAATACCTGATGACTAGGATATATTGTTAACTGACAAATGCAAGATGGAGAAAAGTGTGTATGATGTACTGCAATTTATGTATCAGTCTCATTTCCTAACATAAGGGAAGTACAAATATATGTATGTGTCTCTTATAGAAAAAAAAAAAAAGGAAAATGATAAACTAAGAACTTATTCGAAATGGTTACCTACATAGAGGGAGAGAGAGTAGTGTGAAGAAAGCAATGAAAATTAGACTTTGTGAAGGAAACTCATTTTGTAGATTTGACTTTGGAGCCATATAAATGTTTTACATAATTATAAAATGTTATTAAATCAAACTTTAAAGAGTGCAATCCTTAAAAATAAAAAACAAAATAATAAAAAAAAGAACTTAACTTTATATCAAGTCACCCAAGCAAGAGATGGTGGCAGAGGTTGTGAGATTCTGAATATGTTTGGAAGGTAAAGACAACAGGATTTGCTGATGGGCTGGGTTTGGAAGTAAAAGAGACCAAAGTCAAGGATCCCGAAGGTTTTAGGCCTGAGGAACTGGAAAGGTGGTATGTGGAAGACTGCAGGAGGCGTGGCTTTGGACAGAAGTTTGAGATGCCCATCAGACATCCAACAGATATGTGGAATGAGCAGCTGGATATACAAGTCTGGAGTTCAGGGAAGAGGTCCTCAAAAGATTCAAACTAGAATGTTCAATATAGGTAAGCCAAGAGTAGAGGAGGAAAGAATCTCTTTTTGATAACATTCCAGCTAACAAATGAAAACAAAACTAGAATATCACCATTATGCAACCCCCAATAAATTAATGGCTCTAGGGTGTAGGCAATGAATATCAATGGCTACTAGCATGCCAAAAGGAGATATAAGCAGGTATTTTATACCGTCTGATGAAAAAACACCTGCAGTCTTGCCAAAGGGATTAGGCCACTGGATCCAGCCACTTGGACCATGGTGAACTGCATTTTGAATATGCAATCAGCAAAACCAGACTGAGCGAAACTCTATAGGTCCTTCAACAATAAATTGTAAGGAAAGAAAAGGGGTGGAGGGGGAATATGTGGATTAAAGAGACTTAAAAGACACCAAATTAAAAAATGGGCAGAATTGGGCTCTTGTGCCTGAGGATGCTTATTTAGGTACTGAGGCAATGAAGAAACAGGATAAGTGACTGCTACAGAATTTGGAACGGTGGTTGATTTGGGGGGGAGGGAGGAAACTGTGAATGGGGCAGGATACATGGTAGGGAGTTTTGGGGATACCTGGCAGTGTTCTATTTTTTGGCTTAGATGGTAGTTGCAGTTGGTTGGGGGAGGTCCTTTGAGAAACTTCATAAAACTATACATTTGCTTGATGTGGCTTTTGTATTATTTTACAATATAAAGGTTAAAACACACCTCGTCTTAAAAGGACAATGATGAGTCTAAAAATAATAGATCTCTCTTATTCCCCACATGTTTTACCAGCAAAATATTTACTTGGGACATTACATAGTTTAATCCATACCATGTGATGTCCCAAGTAAAGTAGAGTGATGTTATTAAAGATATTTTCAAGTGGAAGTTTCCTTTTTTATTAATGAAATATTTTGGGAATAACTAAAAAGGTATGGAGAATAAGATAACAGGAACACTTGTAGACCTACCATTCAGTCAAAATGTTACAGATACAATTAATGTCCCCTGTATACCCTTCCTCAATTTCTCCTCCCTTCTCTTTTGCAGAGGTAACCACTATCTTGAATTTAATGTTCATCATTCTCATTCATGATTTTATACTTTTACATATAGAAGTTCTCCTTTCTGAGAGTTCAGTCAAGAGTCTGTATAAGAAATATTTTTCCCCATGTCATTATCACTGTAATTATCAGCTGGTAATGATTAAAAAATAGACTTTTATTAGAATATACCTTACCTTCCCATTTGAATTATGGTCTTTGGTTCAGCTCTAAGAAGCACTAGTTTAAGCACTGTTGCCGCTGCTTCCTAAAAATAAATTGTCAGCATTTACTTTGTAGAAGATTGTAGTGTCTTTTATTACTCATCTGCTTAATTTATCAATGTTCTGTTTAGTTTATTAAGGAACAACTGTTTACTAGGAGAACTAATGGGTGGTTATTCATAATGCATGGTAAGAGGCAAGTTATCATGAAATGTTCATATGAATATGAAGGAAAATATTAAAATTACATATACATATACTTTGTGTATATACATATCAGTGTGCAAATATAAGTTGCACTAATTAGTCCTTTTCACAGCACATTATTAATATGACTGGGAAGATATTTGACTATCTAATCAAATATCTTTTCAGTGACTTCTACGAAGCTATACATAAAATGTTAATGGATTAAAAGTATTCAGCTTTTAGTCTTTGAATAACCTATGCAGTCTTCTTTTTTTAGATTAAGATAAAATTTTTACTCATTATTATTCACTGACATCTTTCTATTAAACAAATAATTGCTAAGATCCCTTCTACTTATTTCTTTTTTTTTGTTTGTTTGGCTGCGTTGGGTCTTCGTTGCTGTGCGCGGGCTTTCTCTAGTTGTGGCGAGTGGGAGGTAACTCTTCGTTGTGGTGCGTGGGCTTCTTGTTGCGGTGGCTTCTCTTGTTGCAGAGCATGGGCTCTAGGCATGCAGACTTCAGTAGTTGCAGCACGTAGGCTTAGTAGTTGCAGCACGTGGGCCCTACAGTGCACGGGCTTCAGCAGTTGCGGCGCGTAGGCTCCAGGCACATGGGCTCAGTAGTTGTGGTTTGCAGGCTCTAGAGCACAGGCTCAGCAGTTGTGGCGCATGGGCTTAGTTGCTCCGCGGCATGTGGGATCTTCCCGGACCAGGGATTGAACGCGTGTCCCCTGCACTGGCAGGAGAAGTCTTAACCACTGCACCACCAGGGAAGTCCCTACTTGTTTCTTATAAGGCTCATTCTTTGGGAGAAAATTTGCAAGGTATTATGATTATCCATAATACCTTAAATACAGTTAATTATATGGAATCCCACTAATTGACTTTAAAAGTGTGAAAGGAACCTGAAAGTTACCTAAGAAGACTTGAATAGCCACACTCCTGATTAACTTTTCATTTTCAAAAAATGACACTTGAAATAAAAACGTTTTGGGAGAGAAAAGCTTGTTATTAATGGTAGAGAGTAAAACTTGAAATTCTTGGTATTACCAGAAAAATCCAGGCAATATTCTCTAGGAAACGATTTCCTAAGAAACATTAAGGAAATTAAGAGAAAACATAATCTTTCAGTTACTCTAGTCTCATCACTGGAACATATTCCCCTACCCTTCCCAAAGTGTCCCTTTTAGAGTATATAAACTATGAAATCACAGAAACATGTGAAACAAAGCAAATGGCAACATGAGGCAGTAAAATAATTGACACACTGGACTGTAGTGCCATTTCTGGAGTTGAAGTGCTGCACAACCTAAGAAAATGAGTTGTCTGGGTCTGTTTCCTTGTGTGAAGAATGAAAGGATTGGGTAAGATGATCTCTGCAGTCCTGTCCAGTTTCATTTGATTTCATGATTAAGCTTTGGTAGATACTAATATTTTCTAATGAGTATAAAATATTTGTGACATTAATATTTAGCACTGAAGGAAGATATGATAGAACTGTGCCTTAAAGCTCCTTCTCCCTGGTCAGCCTTCCACATAGCAGTCATTCCAGACCTTTAATCCTGTCCCCCAACTGCATACTGCTCCACCACGTTCCACTTTCTTACTTCCTTGCATGCTTCATAAAGAGAGGCCAATGGGCTTATAAACTTCTTCAACTTTCTGACTCTCTCCCTTCATAATTAATGAAGTAGTTATTGAGAACATACTATGTCCAGGCATGGTCCACTGTAAGGACAGAGTTGAAGACAGTCCCTGTCCTGAAGGAGTCCGATGGCAGAGACAGTTAAGTAAAAGAAGATTCCAGTTCAACCTGGCAAGTAGTTTGGTAAAGGGATGTAAATTAGCCTGGGCATAGAGAAGGCTTCAAGGAGGAATTGAGAAACATCTCAGAGCACAGAAGAGGTGACACTGCTAAAAAATGGAGACAGGTGGGTTCCGGGGAGAGGGAACAGGAGATTGGAAGGGAGATCTTGGTGAGACTGGAGAGCAGCATGAAGTTCAGGATGGCTGGAGCACAGGGACAGCTGGGGAAGAGAAGGAGGTAATCATGGAAAAGCCCTACCAGGGAGGGCTGTGAATGCCAGGCTAAGGACTATGAACTTTACAATGAAAGTAATCAGATGCCATCCAATGATTTTAAGCAGGGGAGTGACAGGATCATATTTGCTTTTAGGAACAATCCTCTGAGCAGCAGTGTGGAGGCTGGTTTTGAGAGGGACAAGGCTAAGGTCTGGGAGATGAGTTAGGAGGCATCTTCAATAACCCTGGTGAGAAGTAACAAAGGCCTTGATGAAGATGTGGTTCAGAAACAAGGAGATGGATTCAACATGTACTCAGGAGATGGAACTGATAAAACTTGGTGGCAAAGAACACATTTGAGAGTGCAGAAGAGGGAAAAATGAAAGATGACTCCCAGTTTCCAGCTTGAATGGCTTAGTAGAGCTATGCGGCAAGATTAGAAATACACGAGGAGGAATCCACTAGGAAAGAATTAATTTAGTGCTGGACATGATATGCTTGAACTTCTTCTATTAGGCAATCTACTCGTGGAAAGAGATTACCTTGAAAGCAGATTTGGCAGTGATCAAAATAAAGGTGTCCATTTGTGTGAACAAATGTGTCAAGTTAAAAGAGGACTAAAGTTAGAACCCTGAAGAACATGGCACTCAAGGGACTGGCACAGAGGAGAGCCTCAGAAGGAGACTAAATTCCATGTCTATATCCATACCTCCTCCTTTCCCCAAGACAGCATTCCTCTAAACCAAGGCTCACATCTCTACTGCCACACTGGATCCATCCCTTTGTGCTCCTTCAGGTCTTGCTCTAACCAATAATCACTGCCCCTTATATCTTCAACCTCTTCTCCTCTCCATTAGCCTATATTCAGGTGAAGGTTTTCCCTGTATTAAAAAATGAGGCCCTTTCCTGGACCATACTTCTTCTAGCTTTCACCCTCTCTCATTCCCCTTCTAAATTCTTGAAAGAACAGTCTAACTTCACTCTCTCTTCCTGGTCTCCGTCACTTGGCCTAAAGCCATCTGGCTTCTTCTGCCTCTACCTCCACCACTATCAGTAGGATCACTTAACATTTCCTAATTGTCAGTCCAATGAACACCTCTTGGATCTTGTTCAACTTCTCTGGGTCATGAGACATTCTTGTAATTTTCTTCTCTCAGCTTTCAGAATACCACTGCTCTCATTTGGTGACCAGCCTCTCTATTCTATTCTTAACAGTGTTCTGCCTTTTGGTACTCCTTTCTTCTCACTTGGGCACTCTTACCCACTTCTACCATCTTTAACTGTTAGCCCTGACCCTCTGACTGCTACCTATTGGAGCTTTTAATGACTTAAATCTTTTGGGAATAAGATGGAGGAATAAACACACAAACAGATTGGCTATTTCCAACCAGCAACAAAATTCAACCTGTCCCAAATTGTACTTTCCGCCCTTGCATTTCCTCTGACTTCTTCCCCCAGAATCCTGCCTCCATCTGTAGTTTCCATCTTGTTTAATGCCACCTAAGAAAAAAATTTGACAAATCTTCACATTGTACACCTTAAACTTACAAAATGTTATATGCCAATTGTATCTCAATAAAGCTGGGGAAAAAAGATTAAAAAAAACAAAAAGAATCATCCTAGGCATGGCCCTGTTCCCTATCCTACATATCCAGCCAGTCATTAACTCCTGAGGATTAGTTTGCAAAGTCTCTTTAGGATCTGCCCACTCCTCTCCTTCTTCACTGTCATTGCCTTAGCTCAGGACTTTAGATCTCCTAGATAAACTATAACACCACCATCCAAACTGGTTCTCTTCCCTCCAATCCCCCTTCTGTATTGTAACCAGACCAAAATTTCTAGTAAATGGATCAGATCTTGCTATTCCTCCATTTATAAATCTTTAACCGCTCCCTGGTTTCCCTTGGATAAGAGAACAAACTGAATATAGGACCTTGCATCAACTATTCTCTGTCCACTTTTCTGACCTCAGCTTTAGCTCCTATATACTGCGATCCTGTGCTCTAGCCACACTGAGGTTCTTGCGGTTCCCCCAAACACGCCATTCTGTTCCCTCTGCATGGAGTCCCCATTCCCTTTTCCTGGGGCAGGCTAATGCTCACTCTTGTAATACTTTTAAGCCAAGTACCTCCTCTGTGGTTGGCAAGCAGTCACCCATCCTGAGTGCTACAGGAGCAATCTCCATCTCCCGCCATTGAAATACTTTTTACATTGGAGGAGAACGAATGAAGCCCTTGGATATAAAAGGACAATGTGCTCATCAAGGGACAGCTCCAGGCGCCGTCTTCTCTTCCTTGTTGCATCCCCTACACCTTTACCCCGGGATTTTGCAACTAAAACACGTTCAATAAATGTGTGTTGAACTCCAGGCCATTTCTCCGCGGGGGAGATAAAATCTTTAAAGGTCTCCGGAATTAAACGTGACTGCAAATCTCAAGTATGTCACGTGCAGCACCAACCCTAACCCCTGGGCGGCGCACTTGCGGCTCGGCCGGCCGGGAGCGCTAGTGGCTCACGCCGTGGATTCACCATCTCGCAGGCTAGGCCGTACGCAGGGGCGGGCCTCAAGCCTCAACAGCCCGCTCCGGGCAGCCCCTCGGCGCTCCGTCCTGAGGGGCGGGTCCAGTGGGCGCCACCCTCGAAAAGTGGAGCCTACGAAGGCTGAGGTGACGACCCAGGGGTACCTGATAAGAGCCGCCGGTTAGGGTCAGCTCCGCTAGGACCGCTCGGCCATTTGCAATGCAGCTGTAGGCGATCGTCATAGTGGGCGAACTAGAGAAGTACAGGTTCCCGCCGGACCTAACCGCCCGCGACAGTCTCGGGACACTGACTGGGGCGTGGCTCCGGGAGGGGCGGTGTCTGCGCAGGCGCGAGGAGCGATTGATTGGCAGGGAGGGAGGCGGGGCCCTCCCTTACCTGGGCTGAAACTGTGACGAGATCGGGCAAAGTCTCTGGAAAAACTGGCTTTGGTTAAGTGAAGTCTTTCTTCGTAGTCATCCTTAAAATCATTTAGGAGCCAGTTACTTCACAGTGTTTACTTACGTAGGATTCATTCTCAATCTAGGACATGTAAAATAATAGACCTTGATTTAAAATGAGATTCATTCATGAATTCAACAAGTACTGGCTGAACTCCCACTGTGCGCTCCCTAAGTGCTTGGACTAACAGGTATGCAAAAAGATAGGTTCCAGACCCTGACTTTTAGGAGTTCATGTTCTAGTAGTGGTCACAGAGGCACATGTAGACAAGTGCCAATCTCAAGTGACAGGTGTGCATTATGATTGAAAGATAAACTAATCGCACAAGTTGGAGCGGAGGCTGCTAATTCTCCCTGGGAGAGGGAGCAAAGCTTTCAAAGTCACTGTCCGATGGAGAGGGTGGGTTGGAATTCTCTTAAATGGGGACGAAAGGTAGGACAGTCTAAGCAGAGGGAACAGCTCTGTGAAGGCTTGGAAGAAGGCAGGCGGGTTCAGGGAATGGATGTGAGTGTGTGGTAGAGGAAGGGTGTGTGGTGGAGTGGGTAGGAGATGAGAAGGGTAGGAGTGGTAGAATGACTTGTTATCCTAGACCTCGAGTTTCTTGACAAGAATTTTTAAAAGTGCTTCAGATAAGCTTAGATATTTTCTTTTCTTTTTTTTTAACATCTTTATTGGAGTATAATTGCTTTACAATTGTGTTAGTTTCTGCTGTATAACAAAGTGAATCAGCTATACGTATACGTACATCCCCATATCTCCTCCCTCTTGCGTCTCCATCCCACCCTCCCCATCTCACCCCTCTAGGTGGACACAAAGCACTGAGCTGATCTCCCTGTGCATAAGCTTAGATATTTTCATTAGCAAGACATTGTGGTAGAGTTGGAAGAAGTCAGACACACTTGGATCCAAAATATAGGCATTGCCATTTACTCTGTGCCTTTATTGTAACTTAACTCTCTGAGACTCGGTTTGCTAATTTATAAAATAGGGATAGTTCTCAAGTTTAAATTAAGTAATTATGCAAAATACTTAGCATACCATAGATATGTAGTTGCAATCTTTAGTATGATAAATACATTAATGACAATTACTTTCTTGCTTCCAATGGTGTAACTTTAAAGGAAAAACAGTCAATGTCCTTATGGGGTGCCTGGCAGGAGGTGAAGACAGGTAGTTGACTGAGTTTATTTTAACCCAGTACAATCAAATTGTATTTGACAAGCAAGCAGCAAAACTGGTCTGGACTGTAGGGCTTGAGAAAAATGCCTTGTTGAATCATTTTATATAAAGGAAATCTTGAACCAATGTGTCTTATCAACTTAGAGATAATATCTCGTGTTACAGGTGGGTTGACTGAATTACAAGCATTGGTCACATTACTTATATGTGGGAAAATGAAATATGTTAATTCTGAGGTAATGCACTGGTATATTCTTGCTTGCTGTAAAAATAAGCTTAGTAAACTTGGCCACATTGCGTTGCTCCTTCTGTTTAGTAAATAGTGGAGCTGAAAGCCACAGGGCAATGAAGTCATGAGCTGTAGTAACAACAACAAGCATCGGATAATTGGAGAGGTGTATATGGGACTGTCCCCCTCTTGGGCTCACCTTGTCATATTAAAGCAATCCTGTGAAGCTAGTGTGGTGGGTCAACTTTGCACAGCCCACAAATTCTGGCCTACAGCAACGTAAAACATAAATTATAACACTACTCGACCTTTCTCGTGAGCCTCATGTTACCTGATATCTGAGCTTAATCTAGTCAGTGCGAGGTGTCCTCAGTGAACTCAGAATTTCCCCCTTCCCTTCTTTCTACACGGCGGAGGGGGGGCATCTATGTCTGTGAGGAACTTGGTGGAGGGGAGATCTCCTGAGTCATGATCTTCGTCTCTCTAAGGTGGCATCTGCTGCTAATGTTTGTTTTCTGTCTGTGGTCATCAGTTCACATGCTCTACTTGGAACCTGCAGGCTCCCTCATGCACTCTGGCTCTCTCTCAACCGCTTTTGTGGCCCTCTTAGGGGCAAAGGAAACTTTCTGCTGCTCCCTCATGGCATTCTGAGGCTTTGGGAGGTTCAAGAGTCTGTCTCAGGACTCTGGCCAACACAGCATGCTGCCACCCCTCCTGTCATGCTGTCAGGCTGTTGTCATGGGGGAGCAGCTCTCAGACTTTACCTCACCTGGGAAGCAAGCCCTTGGATCCCCAGTTGGCTGAGAGTCTTCTCATCCCACACTCCATCACCCCTCATCTCCGGGGCTCGGTGGCTGGATTGCTTCCTGTGGACCCTCTGCCCTCCTCCAGCATGGGGAGACTCCAGCAGGCCCAGGTGGGGAGCTGCCCACCCTTCAGGCATTCTTCGCAATTTGTGGCATTACTGTTGGCTTCTGCTGTCGCAAACCTTTTCTTTCCATGGACTCTCTCTTTAGGGAGTTTCCAAAATGTATTTTGAAAGATTTAGAGCTGAGAATCTTTTCCTTCTCTCCCTGCTCTTCATCCTCTGTACTTCCTCCACCTCCTCCTCCATTTTCTTTGTTTTCTTTTTTTTTCTTTTTTTTTTTTTTTGCGGTATGCGGGCCTCTCACTGCTGTGGCCTCTCCCGTTGAGGCTCCGGACGCGCAGGCTCAGCGGCCATGGCTCACGGGCCCAGCCGCTCCGCGGCATGTGGGATCCTCCCAGACCGGGGCACGAACCTGTGTCCCCTGCATCGGCAGGTGGACTCTCAACCACTGCGCCACCAGGGAAGCCCTGTTTTCTATTTTTATGCAAAAGGAATAATTGAGATTAAAACCCACAGCAGGTAATATAAAACAGCACAGGTATTTCTGTCGTTCCCTTGATAGTTTGGCAAAATCTTGAGGGTGGAGCAGAAAGAGAAGATGGACCCCTGGGAAGGAGAAGGGGGACATTTCACTTTTGTCCATTTATTTTAAAACAAGCTTTTAGACCTCATGACTACTTTCATGGACCAGCAAATCTACCGTCATTGCTTTTTAGAGACTAGCATCTCAGAAGGAAAAGTCACTAATTTTGAATCATCCAATTTCTTAGGTCACTAGAGAGTTTCCGAATATTCCACAAGCTGGGGACTTTCAAGCACTCACTAATTCAAGATGCTTCTTGTAAAGTATTAAGTTCTCTTGTAAAGGACTATTCTTTTACTTATTGTTGTTTTTCAAAAATGGAAATATTTTTATAGTTTTTTTTCTTGTAGTGTTCACTTGTAGTGAACAGTGATCACTGTTGAAATTCAAACAATACAGCAGTAAAAGTCTCCTTACCATCCCATGAAAATAACCATTGCAGTAATCTAATTTATATTTCTTTTCTTTGTTATGCCTTTTATATTTAACATCAATGAATAACATATTTTCTGAACTCTGTTTTTTTTGTTTTTGGCCGTGAGGTGCTGTATGCAGGATCTTAGTTCCCGGCCAGGGATCAAACCTGTGCCCCCTGCAGTGGAAGCAAGGAGTCTTTAACCACTGGACTGCCAGGGAAGTCCCTGTTTTGTTTCGGTTTATTTATTTATTTATTTATTTAATTTATTTATTTTTGGCTGCATTGGGTCTTTGTTGCTGCTCGTGGGCTTTCTCTAGTTGCGGTGAGTAGGGGCTACTCTTTTTTTTTTTTTTAAATTTAATTTTATTTATTTATTTATTTATTTTGCGGTACGCAGGCCTCTCACTCTTGTGGCCTCTCCCGTTGAGAAGCACAGGCTCCAGACGCGCAGGCTCAGCGGCCATGGCTCACGGGCCCAGCCGCTCCGCGGCATGTGGGATCTTCCTGGACCAGGGCACGAACCCGTGTCCCCTGCATCGGCAGGCGGACTCTCAACCACTGCGCCACCAGGGAAGCCCCGGGGCTACTCTTCACTGCAGTGCATGGGCTTCTCATTGCGGTGGCTTCTCTTGTTGTAGAGCACGGGCTCTAGGCGCACGGGCTTCAGTAGTTGTGGCTCATGGGCTCAGTGGTTGTGGCTCGCAGGCTCTAGAGCGCAGGCTTAGTAGTTGTGGTGCACGGGCTTAGTTGCTCTGCGGCATGTGGGATCTTCTCGGACCAGGGCTTGAACCCATGTCCCCTGCATTAGCAGGTAGATTCTTAACCACTGAGCCACCAGGGAAGCCCTGTTTTGTTTTTAAAATTAATAATACATTGTTCTTTGACTATTATATATATCTCAAATATTTTCATCTGAAGTTTACCATTTTCTTTTTGGCGTCTATTCTTTTCCAGACATTTTTGTTTCTTACCTCGTCAAACATGTCAGTATTTTTTTATTATGATCTTGGACCTTAGTGGCATGTTGTGCAAGGCTTCCTTTTCTATCTCCATATAAAAATATTGCCTTATTTTTTTTCTGTTTCTTTTGCTTATTGTTTAAATCTTTAATCCACCTGGAATTCGTTTTTTTGTCTCTTGAAAGGTAGGAATTTGTGTTTTCCCAAATGTACAGCCAGTTGTTTTGTACCACTTACTGACTACTTTCCCCACTAGTTTTTCTTTGTTTTGTTTTGTCTTTTTTAAATTTATTTGGAGGCACCGGGTCTTAGCTGCAGCACGCGGGATCTTTAGTTGTGGCATGCATGCAGGATCTAGTTCCCTGATGAGGGATCTAACTTGGGCCCCCTGCTTTGGGAACTTGGAGTCTTTACCACTGGACCACCAGGGAAGTCCCTCCTCATTAGGTTGAAATGCCACTTTTACCACAGACTAAATTCCCACATGTACATTGTTAATTAGATTTTAGAGTTGATGTATAGGTCTATTTCTGTGCTGATATCACAGTGATTCAATAACGGATTCAATAAAGCAAATTTATTTTTT